TGAGTCTGACAGTGGCGAAGGACCTCCCACATGGTTTCCTCAGCCTGTACCAGCTCTCCAAGGAGACGGATGTGGCTGCAGAAGTCTGCGTAGCACGAATAAGGGAGGTTTTTGAGCAAGAAAACCCACCGCACGATCTTGTGGAAGAGACTTAATTAAACATGTGTTAAGAGTGCCAACTTATCGGGATGACTGATCCAATATTCTTGGGACTTCTAAATAAAGAAAAAAGAGAGAGAAAGATCTGACAGAAAAGTGAAAAAGAAACAAATGAGGAGGAATTACAAGCACAAAGTGGAGGAAGCTTTGTCGTTCTGCACTTTAACCCCGCACAGCGTTTTCTGTAGGTAGTGGCGTTCAAGTGAACCACTGAAAACTTCTTACAACCAGCTTTAATAGGATCCTAATAATAATAACGACAAAAAACATAGTTATGAAGTATTTTTCTACCGGGATTTACATGTTTACAATCTGTTGCACATTCAGAGTATCACAGACTGACAGAAATTTAACTCAGAAAATCACAATAACCAGCTCTTGTAGTAATTTATCACCTGATGGAAGATTTCTGAAGTCGGTAAGCTGCTGTGCCTAAAATTCAAAGCTGTCTAAACATATATGATCTAAGTTAGAAACACTTTATTTCACAATGCCTACGTCAAACTGACCGGTGTTAATGGTTTACTTGTATAGGAATCACCTTCCAGATGCACTGTAGTATTATTATTATTATTATTATTGTTGTTATTTGGATAAGGTGTGTCATCTGTTTTGGGTTGTTGGGTTTTTTTGTTGTTTCTTTTTTTTACAGTTTGTTACATGTTTACTTACCATTAAAAAGGCCTTCACCTTGTATTTACCAGCAGTATCTGGTACCAGCGTGATTGTAACTTTATAAGGTGTAAATTAACTGTTTTATCATGTTGTTATTCTTTCACAACTGTTGAATAAAACTACACTCTGAAGTTTTTGCATTTGCATTTTTTTAATGAGGTGCATGGTGATAACTCAGATTAGTGAATCTGAGCATTACGTGTCCTTCAACGTTAGGTGTCACAGATGTTGACAGGAAGTAAACTTGCTTTTGATTAGTTTAAATTTAATGTTTATGTTGGTGGCAGTAAATGGTGAAATAACTGCTTTAGTTTTTAACACACTGATGGCTTTTCTCGTTTTCAAATTTTCGAGTGTGTGCGCAACTTTAGGATCACAGCCTTCATACGGATTGCTCTGTTGCCAGTCATTTGCTTCGTTCTTGCAGTTTTTTCTCCCCTTTATCTGTCTGCGTCCTCTAATCGGACTCTGTCAGCTAAATAGCTGCGCTCAGCTTTAATGTTAAGATAAAAATGTTTGTCTGCTACAAGTGCAGACCTCAGTCCATTTCCTGGCTTATGTCACTCAACAGCAGCTGGCAATACTCTGAAGGAAACCTCGATCAATGATGGCAGAGTCATCAGTGCTATAAATAAGTCAAAACTGATTTAAACACAACCATCTAGCTCTATTAAAAAAGGAATTTGTGTGTCCACTCTTTCTACGTTTGCCTCGTTGTCCTTGAGTGAGGGCGTTGATGTGTCACATCAATTACAAAAATGTCCACGAGAAGTTTATAATTCCTGTTCCCATTGAAAGCCTCACATGGCGATACAGTTCCACCATCAGCAGCAACGTCACTGGGATCAAACCTGTTGAGCCAGCTCTTAGAGTTTAATAAGCATCTAGGATACCATTGTCACCAAGAGCACCAGTAAGTCTGAGGAACAGGAGTCAGCAGTCACTGTGTGATTCAAACACATCTTGGATATGCCTGTGTCTTTATCTATCTGGGTCAACGTTTCCAGTCTTTAAAAAGAAAAACAATATTATACCTGAGTTATTGTCCATCAAGAAAACAATAAGACCTTTCAGTATTAACATTTAATATGTGGTCTACTGTTTTCTGTGTTCTCTAGTGTTATTGTTTTACATAAGCTTGCATGGCAGGTTTCACTGACAACAAAAGCGAAACACATTCTGAACCCAGAGGTCACAGTGTGCATCACCTTAGCTTGTCAGAATAACCTGTGAATCTGAGGAAATGTAACATGGCTCTCACATCCTCATATTTTTTTTTACATTTAAGTTTTTATTGATTTTGCAAGTTTTTTGAAAACATATACTTAAACCTGTATAAGAGCGGGGGGGAGGGGGGGGGAGAAACCAAGAAAACTGCTGGTGTGCATCCCTCCTTAAAAGTCTAAGAGAGGAAAGAGAAGCTAACTTACAGTAGGTTCTGAAAGAAGAAACACAGAAACGGGCAACTAAAAATGACAGTAAAGTAACATATTAGCTGGTAGTCACAGTTAATAATCCTTCAGATTATGGTATTATGGTCGTGATTTCCTGTGTGCTTCAGATAGCTCCAAAAGTAGTCCCAAATTTTATCTTTGTCTTTTGTATCATTTTTAAGTTTATTCAGCATGGACTCATAGGAAGCAGTCTCTGCCATTGCTCTGATCCAGTCTTTCAGCTCAGGAAGTCCTGTAGTCTTCCAGTGCCTGAGGATAATCCTCAATGCAGTTACCAGTCCAACCATAACAACCGTAAAAACATTATTATGAATTCTTGGAATATGAGAACGGTCTCCTAACAAACACAATTCAGGAGTTAAGGGCACTTCTGATCCTGAACAACCTTTTAAAAGTGTGACGACTTCCTTCCAAAAAGGAGCTTTAAGGGAACATTTGCAAAAACAATGTAGGAAAGTCCACACCTCACTTTTACATTTCCAACAGAGATAGTCAGGCATAAGCTTCATGCTGTGTAACCTTGTTGGAGTATGATAATATCTATGCACAATTTTATATTGTATGCATTTGCTCCTCGCCTCCTTAACATAAATCCCATTTTCTACCAAAATTCCCATCCATTTTATGTTTGGAATTGGTGCATTTAAATCTTTCTGCCACAAAGTTTTAATATTCGAACACCCACTTCTATTATCATTTACCAACTTATAAAAGCATTATGCTGTGTGGCGCTCCCGAGGAATATTTATAAAATTTAGAACAAGATTCTGAACTTGGACATCACACAATGTCTAATTTGCCAATATCTCCAAAGATGTTCCTTCCCTTCCAATTTGTATGTTTGGACAAGATCTATATAGGACATAAATTCCCCATCTTTAAATGAGTCACTAATAACATTTATGCCATGAGACTGCCACAATTTCCAAAACACCATTTTCTCCCCCCTATACGAACAGCTGGATTGTTCCAAAGCAATGAGTAAAACTGCACATGAGGTGATATTTTAAGAATTCTATATTCAGCCATACCTGGCTAGAGTGAAGCAAAATTGCGTTCGTTGAAGTGCGGCTTTGAGACAGCATACATTTTGGGTCATAAATCTCAGACTCTATACTCAGCCATTCCTGTCCAGCTTGATTTTTTTCCCCAGTAATTAACCAATTTTGCCACCTCGAATGAGATTGAATATAGTCTTGGATCGGGTAAACTTAAGCCGCCCTTCTCTCTAGGGCCATATAATTTACTTAGCTTGATTCTTGCCCTTTTCCCATCCCACAGAAACTGCTTAATTAAGTTTTCATTCTGTTTGAAGAAAACAGGCAGTATCACATTTGGTAACATGATTACTACGTAGTTGAATTGGGGAGCTATAATCATTTTTACAATATTTATTTTGCCCCACAATGAGATTTTTAATTTGCTCCATTTTTTTGCTCCCAGACGCCTTAACGCCCACTCACATCCTGGGCCATCTGACCTCAGGAAATCACATGATAGGGTGGGGCCAGATTTCTCAATAAGCTCACCCGAAACCCTGGCTGATTGGGAACCACACCCGCTTTCACACCTTGGCTCATGTGATTAGGTAGAGGATCATCAGGGGGTCCTTTGTCCCTCTTTATTTAACAGATTTAAACTCCCACTGGGTTTAAATCTGGGACTCCCCACCATTGACCCTTAGAACTGAAGAAGCTTCTTGGATGAGAGGTGAAATATCTTCAAACACCTCGAAGAAGTCCAGACGCTTTTCTTTCCAAGCTCCTTAGACGTTTTTATTTTTAGTAGGACTGGGTCAAAATTGAGTTGGGGTAGGTCCTCCATATCTTGGCTTAGCCTAATCCCGAGATACTTCATCCCTCTAGGTACCCATCCTCAAATTAACCCTCTATTATAGACACTCTCTGGGATATTTATTTATTTATTTAGGACAGTGCATGTTAATGAACATAAATGTAAAAAAAATTTACATGAATGTAAACATACCAGATTATAGCCAAGGGCTAATTTCCATCTGTTGTCCTTAAGCATAAAAATAGACATAATAATTCATAAAAATTCATCATTCATTCATAATAAAAACTCCATCACCAAACTTACACATACACACCATTCTGTTCCCAAATAAAACATTAAAACTATACAACTTATACATGATCACACACTTGATTTGTCCATAACCAGTTTTTAACCTTTGGGATGTAGGTTAGATTTTTTTTTAGCAAGAATGTAGCTGTTGCTCCCTCAGTGTTAGCTGCCAGAAATGTTGCCTGAGCTAGGAAGCTTTTATTTACCATTCATCTCTGTACCAAACATTATGGGAAACAGGTTTACAATAAGGAGTCAGAGCAGTAAGAGTGCATATTTGAACTCATTTGAACCTATTATGATCGGTAGGTGATTGTAACCTTGAGCAAAGAATGTGTGGGCAAAGATCTAAAACAACTGTGAGCTGTGTTTCAGGTAATTAGGCACTTTTTGTGACTTTGTATAAAAGTCACAAAAAGGTGCGTTTATGACTGAGAAGAAAACTCTGTGGCTGATTAGATAAAGTACACAATGAGAATGCTATATTGATCGCTTTACGGAGCTTTTTTTTATATTCAACTTTTATTTAATCATTCCATAAAATATAAAAATAAACATGAATAATATAATTATAGTTAAAAATATAAATCCTATGTAGCAGTAACTAGGTGCGCCAGCAGGTGGCAGCAACGTCTTGGAGTCTCACGTGTGATAAACAGCAGGGAGACGACGAGGAAGAGGAGACGAAGAAGAGGCGACCATGTTGATTTAAAGGAAGAAGAAACACAATAGAGGAGATTTATATCCAGAAAAAAAATCAGTGATTGAAGCTTATTGTAAAGGAAATAGTTGATCGACCGCGCAGTGAGTGTTCCTTGCAGAAAAATAAAACAATAAAGGTAGGTTTGCGGAGCTTTGAGGCGTTTACTTTCTGTAAAAAAACATCTGAGTTGCTATGAGCAGATTAGCATGTAGCTAACGTTAGCGAGTGGAGTTATTTGTGCTAAATTAGTCCGGAGGATAGCCGTATTCCATGAAGCTTTGGTGGAAACATTGCAAAAGAATTAACCCAGTCAAAGTACATTTTTATCGCATTGTTATCGTTATGATAAATTAAAAGATCATAAAAAGTAAAAGACGAACGAACGTTTTAACGGCTCAGTCGCTCGTTAACTTTAGCTCCGTTAGCATAACGTATTTAGTGTTTCTCCTTAGAGGCAGCGTTAATGTAAGATATTAATCAATAAATGAAGGTATGTAAAGTTTATCAAATCCAAAGTAATTGTTTTGGTGTGTTAAAGTTAATTAATTTCAGAGTGCGTTTGGAAAACTGCGTGAAAATTAAGTTTAAGCTAATGTGCAGTCTGAACGGTGGAGGAAAAAAAACTTGGTAAAGTTATGACGCTGTGAGCAGCTTTTGGCAGTCGATTCAAACTGTGATTGTTTGATTTGTTTCAAGCTGATTTGAGCCTCAGTAAAGGATAGACTCAATTTAAAAAAAGAAGAAAATCCTGACAGTTTGGGCTTCGTTAATCTGAGGGCTGCCACCTGGCAGGTTCACCTCTCTAACCTCGGAGTGCTGAAGCAGCGTGTCGCTTTCTGCAAATAACTGCCGCTTTTATTTATCACTGTTCAGGGCAGAAGTCGGCCAACTTTACTAACAAAAGAGCAGATTCTCAACAACTTTAACTAAAGGGGGAAGGGTCTGCAAGAAGCCGAAAACGCAGTTTGAGCTTTTTAATAAAAGTGGCACAGCCTGTTGAGTATGGTGTTTTAATACGGAAATATTCAGTGTTTCTATATACTGAATATTCATTAGTTAGTTACTCTGTAGGTATTCTGTAATTAATCTGTATGCTTATAAACGAACTACTACTAACTGTTCACTTCTTAAAAATATAGCACTATTATTTAACTATGTTGCATTTAGCATCAATATTTAATATGAAATCACGTAAGAATGCTGCCAGTTTAAATAAAGAATTAATAAATATTAGTAACAGTAGATTCGAAAGAAAAGTCCGCTTTGATGATGAATTTTTTTTCCCAGTGCATTTTTGCATCTGTGGGCTTTTGGAGTTTAACCGTTGTCAAATATGTGAGAATGACTGGCAGACTAGGTTTCTGTGTGGCCTGTTGTAGCTGCTACTCCATTACTTCAAAGCCAACTGACTGTGTGTGTAACATTTCTTCAGAGACACCCTTAACAGAACAGATTAGACTTAAGGGTTAGATATATGTCATAGGTACATCATAACCACAGACCCCTCTGAAACCCAGCTACGTGACTACATGTCACATTAGTGTATTTTGTGATTGATTTGTGTATTGTTTTTGACTGCAGGATGTTGGCAATATCTGCAATTCAATAAGTTGAAATGAGAAGCTGCAGATCTCAAATTTTGTAGGGAATTCTGATGTAGATGATCAGGCATGTCTTTGACACTCAGGAGTTTTAATCTCCTGTAAAATTTGATGGTGCGAATCCTTTTAATTTCCCTTTTGTTTAGTTGGAGGTAGTTTTCAGTTGAAACAGTAGTGGTTTATTGGTGGCATTATGAAAAGTTAAAACAGGATCTGGAACATCCCCACCTACGCTGTCATCTCTGCTTTCACAGATAACGAGCGCTGAAAGTAAATTTATTTACCAACAAAACGGAACAAAAAATATTTGTTAGTGTTTGGGTCTACTTTGGAACAGGGCAACTTTAAAGCTATGGAGGCCACTGTGAGTCCTACTTGTTTTTATGCAAAGAAATCAAATTACAAGTAATCTGATAAGGAGTTAAACATGGCAGCCTAATGGCTTTAAATGCAAACATCCCAAAAATGCCGAATTGTTTATTTATGAGATCTTGCTTCTTTTTCTCATTTTGTAATCATTATTTACCTATTTTGGGTTATGATGTCATCTTCAGTGCAACTGATGATCAAGAGAGTAAATAGGTAAACTACTTATAACTGGGACTTAGAGTCAGCTGTTCACGGTCATTTAAAAATGTAAAATCTCGTGCTTTTATTTCTTTTAGGTGAGGAGTCTGAGTTGTTGGCTTTGACTCTGAGGAGGCAGCAGGCGATCAGGCCACAACTCTCACACTTCAGACTGAGCTGAAGACCTGTAGTGTCGAAGGAGAGAGGGTCAAACACCTGGAGGAGAAAGGAAACTCACACCCCCCACACACACTGAAGACTCAGCAAGGGTGGAAAGCTTTTTGGGCTTTGGACTCAGTTACCCCTTGTGTGATTTTTGATTTCAGGATCCATTTTTTTGGAGTGACTTATACCCACACAGTGGAAATAAACAGAAAGCATTACGGACTATAATTTTGGGGAGATACTTGTACAAAGTTGGGCATTTACTTTCTTTTTTTTTTTTTTTTTGTCAAGAACAGGGATATTGAGCAACTCTAATGGACTCAAAAGTGGAAATAAGAAATACTGTTCCATTCACAAAGAGAAGTTTAAGTATTGAAGTAAGATTATATTGAAGATCCCCAAGTTCAGATTGCCTTAGTTGTTCTGTTTCAGGACTTGAACTGCTTCAATACTTGTTCACATATAATTTTTCTATATTGTGGACAAGTATATTCATGCATATGAATGCAAATTTCTCTTCATTTTGAAGAGCTCTTCTGTAAAAAGTTTTTTTTTTTTTTTGGTTGTTGTTTTGTGTACGTCAGTCACTCTGTTGTTGAAGGGGACCGAACTGCACGTACGTGTGTATATGTAAATACTACAAATCCACTTCTGTCGTCAGCTTTGGACTTCAAACAAAAAAAGAGAGAGAATATCGTTTGTTAATGCTTTATTAAACTTTTTTACATCTGAAGAGAATTTTTAAAAATTAAACCTAAGACGCAAAAATCTAATACTTCAAAGGACAGAAAAAAAGAAGACAAAAACAGGGAAAATGGCAACCGCCAGAACAGAAAGTGTGGGCCCGGTCGTCATGGGACTGAATAAGCAGAACGGGCAGCTCAGAGGGCAGACCAAACCAGCTGCAGTCCAGCCAGCACCAACAACTCAAGGAAAGACTTTGGGTGCTCCCCAGAAAGCAGGAGGAGCCTCTCAGGACGGAGGTGGTATTAAGTTTGGAGATGACTGGAAAAAGAGCCTACAGCTCCCTCCCAAAGACAACAGGGTCAAAACCTCAGTGAGTTAAAATTTGATTTCAGTTTCTTGTCATGCTTTCGCTTCAGACTAGTTTTCTCCTGATGTCCTAACCATTTCTGTGACCACTGCAGGATGTGACGTCCACAAAGGGGAATGAGTTTGAAGATTATTGTCTCAAAAGAGAACTCCTGATGGGCATCTTTGAGATGGGTTGGGAGAAACCTTCCCCTATTCAGGTATGCTCAATATTTATTATCATTTATCTTCTTTCCAAATAAACCCCATTGATTAACTTACAATTTTATGTATTAGACAAACAGAAATGGTTTGTCTAAACACCTATTCTTTTTTAAAAAAGAATAGGTGTTTTCATCCTGTTTCTTTTGTACTCTCTTTAAAACTCATCAAAAATTAACATTAAAAGTAAACATCATCTGCAGCACGGTTGATGTGGTGCACTTTTTAGATCAGGATTATTTCTCATTATAAAGTAAATCAGATTTGTTAAACTTTACAAATCTTGTCTTTTTAAACAAATAATTTCCTTAAACTTTAAATATAATTTAACTGAAAAGAAAATATAAATGTGAACTGACATAAAAATGTAACAGCCTGGTGACAAGACAAGTGAATTATTACAAGAATCTAACACAAGAGTGGCTTTATCTCCATTACCTAATTTTAACTGTCACTGTGGATGATGGGGGGAAAAACCTGGGTTACTTGTACAGTCATACAGTTTTATACATTTTATTTTGTTTGTTTGATTTGAGAGATGCTTACACATGCTGACACAATTCGGGTTGTTTTTATGGTCTACCTTAAAAACACAAATGCCATGGTTTAAACATGTAAGACAAAGACACACATTTCATTTGTGTCCATGAAATAAAAAAGGCAAGTATGTTTGTGTAATGAGACAGACGGTTTGCCTGTTGGTTCCTTGCAGGAGGAGAGCATTCCCATCGCCCTGTCTGGACGGGACATTCTGGCCCGAGCCAAGAATGGAACAGGGAAAAGTGGAGCCTATCTCATCCCACTGCTGGAAAGGATAGACCTGAAAAAGGACCACATACAGGGTGAGGCACTGCCTTTGGTTTTATAGTTGGACTCCACATATAAGCTTTACTGACTACAGTTTTAACTACCTTTTTCTTTAAGGTGTTTTTTAACTTGTGTTGTTTTCCTATGCTTCCATTTTACCTGACATGGCATTTCCTTCAGTTTGTCTAGGAAACAAAGCACGTGCTATAGAAAGAGGAGCTAATGCATCGTCATTGTCTCGCCAGCCTTGTTTTTTCTGTTGGTTCTATGTTTTTCCTTCAAAGCAGATTTCACACATGCACTGCAGCCCAGATCTTTTCTAGGACTGAGCCAACAGGGATGGACCTCAGCCTGACATTAACCTTTAAGTTCTCAAGTGCAAAGTCTCTGTGATATTTGAAGGCACAGCTAATATAGCAAGTGGCCATCTTTGTGCTGCCTAGCAGAAAGGACAACTGTAAAACTAAAAAGCCAGATTAATTTCATGTGTGAAAACAGCTTGTGAAATAACATACCATCTATCATGTTTGTAATCTCTACTTCTTTTTTTTTTTTTAATTTTCCAGCCATTGTCATGGTGCCCACTCGTGAGCTGGCACTGCAGATGAGCCAGATTTGCATCCAGCTCAGCAAACACCTGGGAGGAGTCAAAGTCATGGCCACCACCGGGGGCACCAACCTGAGAGATGACATCATGCGTCTGGATGAGACCGGTAAAGATTCATATCAACCAGCTTTGTGGTACTTTTATCCATGAGAGGTTATGGAGGCTGTCACTCTGAATTCAGTGTGTTATCTGTTGTTAAATATTGTCACAAAATGCCCCGTAAAAAGGAAGTTTTGATGATAATCATGGTTCTGTTTTCACAACAGTGCATGTGGTCATTGCCACGCCTGGCAGGATCCTGGACTTGATAAAGAAGGGAGTGGCAAAGGTGGATAAAGTCCAGATGATGGTGATGGATGAGGTAAATATGAGTAAAGTCATTTCAGAAACTAGCTGTTATTTTATGTATTGTGTTGTATCGGGTAAGAAAAGAGGCTTGCTTCGTGGTAATTATTATTCCGTTTCTCTTCAGGCGGATAAGCTGCTGTCTCAGGATTTTGTGGTGCTTATTGAAGATATTATTAGTTTCCTGGCCAAGAACAGACAGATCCTGCTCTACTCTGCAACCTTCCCCATCAGTGTGCAGAAGTTCATGGTGAGTAGACGGCTAATTACTGCGCTGCTTGTCCAGCCTGCTGGCTCAGAGCCACTTGGCTCCACTTAGCTCACACTGCAGACCGAGCTCCGCTCCTGTCGCGCCCAAATCTGTTTCTTTCTTTGTTGTGGACATTTCCAGGGTTGATTCAGCTAAAGCAAATTTAGTTTACAGTCACAGGATACGATTGCTTTTACTGTTTGTACAAGTCTTTTTTGAAATTCTGAGTATCTAAGCAGGTACTACTTGTGTGGTGGTTTCAGTGACAGTGCATCCAAAAAGAAATTTCTCCATAAAGAAGAGCAGAAAATGATCATGACAGAAATGTCCTAGAAGCTTTTACAGTTCTGAAAACACATTTTTAAAAGCACTGTGTGAACTGTTATCTCTCTGTGTCTTTGCTGTAGGCCAAGCACCTTCAGAAGCCCTATGAGATAAACCTGATGGAGGAGCTGACTCTGAAGGGCATTACTCAGTACTATGCCTACGTCACAGAGAGGCAGAAAGTTCACTGCCTCAACACACTCTTCTCCAGGGTAACCGACTCTCTGTTAACTGCGGTTACTTTGTGACCACAAGTACACTTCTTTCAAAGTGACAAGTTAGCCCGTGTTAATCCAGTGTTTCCTGATTAAATTTTACTCCCTTTACCTTTATTTTTTTTATTTTAATTCCTTTCTTTAAAAGGTTTTATCAGATAAGGAAACACAGGCTTATTGCTTTTACTTTCCACAGATGAAAATGCCCTCAAAGGCTCGTTCTGAGCTAGGAATAACTTATTTTTTCTCTCCTCTCCATCATAGCTTCAAATCAACCAGTCAATCATCTTCTGTAACTCCACTCAGAGAGTGGAGCTCTTGGCCAAGAAGATCACTCAGCTGGGCTACTCCTGCTTCTACATCCACGCTAAAATGATGCAGGTGAGAACAATGTTTTTATGCTAACAGAACATTAGTGGGCTCTCAAATGAATGACGGGCGCAAAATAAAAGAATATGCCTGCTCGTAATCCTCCATCTATATAAATATTAATGTTAGATTCTTTTAAACCCTTAAAATTACTTTGATCACGGTATTAAAATACCTGAATATTTCAATGAGGAATACATTTTCTTCAGGCTGAAGAAAAGCAAATCCCGATGTTGGATAAGTAATGATTTGCGATCATTTGTTTTCTCCAGGAATACAGAAACCGTGTGTTCCACGACTTCAGAAATGGACTGTGCAGAAATCTGGTGTGCACTGGTGAGTTTTAACTGGAATATCTACTTGTGCATCACAAAAGCCTCAGAGTTAATCCAGGATCTGTTGTAGCACTGCTGTAATCTTCTGTTGCCTTCCAATAGATCTGTTCACCAGAGGAATTGACATCCAGGCGGTAAACGTGGTTATCAACTTCGACTTCCCGAAGAACGCAGAGACTTACCTGCATCGTATTGGAAGATCAGGTATGTTTTGTTTTTGTTTGTAAATGTAAATCATTAAAGCTTACCTGCTTTTTTTTTTTTTTTTTAAATGAAATTGTTTTCCAGGATGCTTGAAAGTTTATAACTGGCTTGTATTTAGCTAGAAACCATGGCGCACAGCAACCCCTGATGCACAATGAGAGAAAAGTGTTTCTTTTCTTATGTCACAGTTAAAACTCTCATTTTAACCATCAGAGGTCTAAATATCCTGTCGCTAACCCTAAAGTTACAGTTACAGTTGAAAAGTGGGTCATAGCTTTACAAAAACTGGTGTTACTGCCTGTAAGGATGACAGTGCTGAGCATAAACTGCTATTTGCTCTAACAATTGCCCTGTTTTTAACAGAGTAAATGTCAGGCTTTAGCGCTTTAATCTGTGACTCAACTGCCTTCAAAAAGTACTTTTGTAATTTTACGTCCGTTCTGAATTTGTGAAAGCCGCCTCTGATAAATATGGTCTGTGTTATGGTACTATTTTAAAAACTAAACTGAAACGAGTGAATTCAATCTGCAAAGTAACTGAAATGAAAGTAAACACAAACCAAAATTTCCACATGAAGTGAAACAGGAAAAAGCAAACTAGTTAGAAAGCACAAAACTAAAGCTTTACTACAGGCTTGGACTTCGCAATCTGCATCTGTGACGTCTCGCCACGTGGCACAAGTTGCCAAATTCATGGGGTTGTTTTTTTGTTTTTTTCATGTTTGACACGCTCACAGCGCTTCAGACTGTGACTGATGTCGTGGTTTTGATGTTCTGATGTCCCTTGGGAACAGTTTCTCTACTGTACTATTTTATTTGATTATTTTTCCCCCACAATATTAATGACATACTTTGTTTTTAGTTTAAACTGGACATTGTATATTAACCACATTCTCATGTTTCTCAGGGCGATTTGGACACCTGGGCTTGGCCATCAACCTGATCACATCGGAGGATCGCTTCAACCTGAAGGCCATTGAAGACCAGCTGGTGACCGACATTAAGCCCATTCCCAGCAGCATCGACAAGAGTCTCTATGTGGCCGAGTACCACTCAACTAGCGGAGATTGTGACGTGGAGGAGGTCGAGGAGAAGCGCCAACAGGACAGCACCTAAAACAGGTGCGATGCCAAGAAAAAGTGAGGTTGTCTGAAATCATTCACTGCTGCCTATCCCGGGAGTTCTATGTATTGAGCTTCACAGCTATGATTAAAAGTAAATTCAGGGTGATAGTTGGTCAATATTTACCATGATTTTAAATGTGAACAAGTTCATTTTAAAATGCTTTCCTTACCTTTTAAATATATAGTTTAGCATGAGCTAAATTAAATGGCAAGCAACTTTGGGCATGTAGAGGTGGGCAAAGAAAGCGGTGAACTAGATTTCTAACATGGGGGAAAAAACAGAGTTTTATATAAAAAAAATTGCCAAAGATTGCTAGATTTGTGAAAGATTTAGATCAGTAAAATGAAATGCTGTCAGAGACTACTCGCGCCTTTGTCTCTGTTATGTCTTTGCTGGCACACAATTACATTTATTAATCACAGCTGGCTTAAAAAATAGTTTGCTCAGCGTATGATGGGGTTCTGTGGAGGGCAGTGCACATCAGCTGTACACTACTTTTCCTGAGGCATTGTGAGATGCATTAAATGCTGTAGGGTAGGGGACACATGCCTGGGATTGGCTCACAAAATAGTTTCTTAAATTTTTCTTCTCTTAACTTTGTGTCATTTGCAGAGGTGGTTATGCTGATGCAGCATATTAAAAATCCGGCCTAAAATCTCTCCCAAAAATCATAACAGCTGTAGCTTTGTCGGGATGGACTAATCTGTTTGCACAAAAGGATGTGTAAAAAAAAAAAAAAAAAAATTAAACACTTAATGACTGAAATCATGGAGCAAGGATCAGCTGATCCATGGAAGAGTTTGCAGCAACTTGCCTTACCAGTTCTGTGTCGTGTTTGTTTGTTTTTTTTGGGGGGGAGTTTTTGTCAATGTGTGGCCTTTCACTTGCTTTATCAAAGTCATTCTTACCCCTATGAGGACAAATGCCATGTAGGGTATAATCTTACTCAGACTGAAAGATAGCCGGACTCACTATACAGCCCACTCAAGTGAGTAGTGAATGGTTTCAGATGCAGTGTGGCTCCTTGTGTTGGTAACTTGACTGACGATGTGCTCCTAATCCATGTTTTGTCCTCTTCCTCAGGACGCTGAGACACACCGGGCTTTTGCACAGACATCAGCGCTTGCACCCAGGCTTCAGGCAACTCTTCATTTTTACATTCGTCACTTGTTTTCCGAGCCTGTGGAATGGATGTCTTTAAAAAAAAAAAAAAAATCAAACAAAAAAAGAAACAAAGGCTGTTTTTATTCTGGAGCATTTCTTTAGCTTTTCCTCAACAAGAGCTGCCTCATTATTTTATACATTTAGAGGTTTAAAGTGTGCTTTGCACCAAGCTGGGACTGCGAGAAAGCTTAACAATTCCTAGAATTAGAGAAATGAGCTGTTTTGAACCCGTCGCCTTTGGAGACAGTTTTCACTTCCAGCAGCAAAGTTGGTCTATTTTGGGTTTTTTTGTTTTCTTTTGTTTTGTTTTTTTTAAAAGTGGTGCACTTACACCAGCCATCACTCTGTCCACTCACACTGCTGTGGTCACTTAAGTGCCTTACTTGACTCCCGTGTGCACTCATCCATTCATAGCCTGCTGCCGACTGTCACGCAGCAGAGTACGAGCACAAAGACGAATCAATATTAACCCGAGTTTATTGAAACTTTAGTCATTATGCAAAGGAAAAAAGGACAACACACACACACACACTGCTCTCCCGCTGAGAGGTGTGCAGAAACATGGCTCAAAACCATCCTGAATGTGAACGTTTGTTTTTAATGTGAACGTTGCAATAAAAAAAAAAAAGGGCAGCTTTATTTAAATACTACGTGACTGTTTTTCCCTTCCACCATGAATAAAACATGAGCAGAGCTAATGTGAGAAGACGGCCCCTGTACTGATTCGTAGAGTATGTTGGCCTGCAGATACACACAAGCAGCATGGGAGATGAGTAGCAGCTTCATTAAATTAAAGCTGTTGTTCTTTTACAGCTAAGAAAAATATATATATATTGACTGGTAAATAGTGTAAATCTTTTGGTCGCTGTAGCTGCTGGATGAAAATATGTTCTCTTTTCCTGAAAAGGATGATGCATTCAAGACTCATTCAAAACAGCTGATAAATGAGCTTCAGCATGTCCACGATTGGTGCAAAACAACACTTTTAACTTTTTCTTTCCCCACACAGCTTCTGTTTTTTTTTTTTTTTTTTTTTTTTTTTTTTTTTTTTGGGGGGGGTTTGTTTGCTTGTTTGTTTGTTTTTTGTTTGTTTGTTTTTTTTTAATCGAGGAAACGCACGGTGGAAATGTGTTTTTAAGCCCTCATGACAAAATTAACGTCGGTGAATGTATTAGTTGCCAATAATAGCTGTGCAGCCCAGTGGTTTAATGCCAAGCTCTTCACGTTGCTGCTGCAGTAGAGGCTCCGCTTCAGGCTTTGCTTTAATGAAATACAAACTGGATGTGAGCTGGTTTCATGAACCACAGAGGAATGAAACCCGCTCAGTCTTTAAAAGACCACATATAAAGTCAATTGGAAACAACTAATTTTCTTTTCTCTCTCGTGCGGCAACAATTTTTTTTTTTCTCTCCACAGCCTACACATTTTTTA